ATTTAAGAGTTTCGTAATAATTTGTTGCATGGAACCTCAAATATCTTAGGGTTGGCCTTGCCCTTGATTGTATTTCATATTTCGAACGAGTTTAGTACAGAACATAACAACAATATTGAAGTGTACTCATCAACTTAAAAGAAGTTGTCGAAATCATCAACACACAAGTCATTCTCCAAAACACGAATACAAAAAATGAATTCTCGGCTTCAATTCATATTTGTCATACTGCAGTATTAAATTGTATTAACATTAAAATTAACAAGATTTTAGTTTCTTTTCATAGTATCTAATTCAAGTTTCAAATTTGAGTAGTATTGACCAAAATTATGTTAAATCACAAAATGCATCTTAAAATGAAAATGCACAAACAAATACATATATAAGATCATAATATGAAAGCATTATAACAATTATGGTAGAAAATTAAACCAAAAAAATTATGGGTTCGGACTTCGGCGTTTATACTTAAATTTTTTTAGCCGTTAAGTGCCTTTGTCGGTAAGAAAGAATCAAATCTCAGTGAAACCCATATGGTAATATTCCAAAAATTTGTAATCAAGAAAATCTTCATCGATTTTTGCAGGATTTTGTTTCCATATAAATTCGACACCCTTTCTCCCTCTGTATTCTATATAAGAACCCATTCATTACTTAGATTAAGCTATTTCAGATCCGAGACTTGAAGCCCAGAAACTTTTAAGGTAGATTCTTGATTGCAGTTCTGTTCTTTAATCAGAATTTATAGTTTCTTGCAGTATATTTGATCAATTATTAATCAAGAGTTCTGTTATTATTTTTTATCAATTACTAATTAAGGGTTCTGTTACTTTTCATCATTTTTTTTTCTGAAATTCAAATTTTTGATGAATTATTTCTGGTGTTCTAAGAAGCAAAAAAATAAAAATAAAAATTCAGGCTCCTGTTGTTTTGATGAATTATTAATTAAATTTAAATTATTGATTTTCCAATTTCCTGAGGACGGTGCGTTTATTATGCATATCTCCAAATGTGAAAGGCTATAAGTAATTTTTTTATTTGTGCTTATCGGTTTATATATATTACTGTTATTTGTCTCGATTTCTGTAATCACGTATAATTCAGTATCGAAAGTTAAAAAATTTTATTCTGATTGTTGTGATTTTGTTCATGAAGATGGGTCGAGCAAAACTAACACTGGAACTGAGAAATAACAAGAAGGCACGCCGTGTAACTTTTGAAAAGAGAAGGAAAGGTTTGGAGAAGAAGGCTTATGAATTGTCAACGCTATGTGGAGTCAAAATAGGCATGATTCTCTACGGGCCATCAGAAGGTGACGAACCAGTCGAGCCAACAATTTGGCCCGAAAATCGTGAAGAGATTGAAAACTTGATCAGCTCCTACAAGAAGAGATCAGACGATGACTGCAGACAAAGAACCTACGATTTGTCATTTTTTTTCAAGGATCAAGTGAAGAAAGTTCAAGAAGAGCTTGTGAAAACGCGCAAAAAGAACAATGAAACTAAGTACCCAGTTTGGAATGCAACGTATGATAACTTGACATACGATGAGCTGAAATACTTTGGTAGTCTTCTGCAGGCTAAGATTGAGAATGTCAAGTCTCGAATTAATTTGTTGAATCAGAATCAAATAGATGCTCAATCACTTCAAGAAAATATAGACGCCTACCAAAGTAAGTTGTATTATCAGCAGCAACAATCTTTGATGCCTACTTATGATCCACAACTTATCGACGGCTCATTCAATATGACTAATCCAGGGCTAATGATGATGCCAATGAATGATGGTGCATCGAACAGTAGCAGCAACTATATGTGTAACGCTGAAGATACTTACGGAAATTATACGTATAGCAATGGCGATGAAATCCAGGGCAATTATATGGATATTAGTGGCGGTGAAATCCCGGTTTCCCATGATTTAGGGTTCGGGGTGCTAGACAATGTTCCTTTTCCCAATGCTGAGCCGCCACTGAGATGCTGTTATTTCCCAAACTTGTATCCAATGCCTCAGTACTCGCAATATCCCATGTTTTCAAGTCCTGCCCTTCAACTGCAAGTCGCTAACACTAATGATTATCATCGGAGGCATGATTTTCAGCTCCATAACCCAATGTAGATGAAACATCTGCTATGAAATTTACTTCAGAATTTGCTGGTTAGTTTAGACACTCATTAACTGGACAGTTTAGTATAGTACTGATTTCAATCTACATATCAAATTGATTCTACTGATTAGCATAGCTGTGTCTTTTGCATAGACATGTACAATCCAAATTCAGGTTATTTGGCCATGGAACTTGATTCTCTTTATGTTTTGTTTAATTTTTTGAATGATAATTGATGAAATTGTTTGTCTATAACTTCAAAGTTCATCAGAAAGTTTCTTATACTGTGAACTAACCTGTTGATTCACTTCTTACGGAAAATATGGCAGACGAAACAGATTTCACAACCATGGTACATAGAAGCTCAGATGTTGTCTGTCGAGCACAAGAGATAACAAATTTCAGCATGACGTCGCATAGCCATGTTTTAGGTGCTAAAATGTTACGAATTTGAAAGGGATATGTTTCACCAGAACCTCGGCTAATAGATAAAAATCAAGGCAATGAAATTTAGTCCAACAAACATAAAACCACACAAAGAAACATAAAGCAGACTCCATCTGGATTGTGTGCATGCAAAAACAGCAATATTGTAACCACAATTAAGTCGAGTTTACATCCAATTTTCCTAGTAGCCTTAAAATAAACCAAAGAGACATAATTCAACCACGAAGGACAATGAAAGAAGCACCAATTTATGGCATTTTCATTCCAATGTTGTGACTGGCAAACAAATTTGATCCGTGTTAGAATCATGAAAACCTCAATAACAAAAACTCCCATGTCTTAAAATAAATCTCAAAGGCAACAAACAAGCTTCTAATAGTATAAACATAAACAAAGCATTTTTACTTTGGTCATGTTTGATAGTCATTATTTTGCCTAGAACTAGGAAATTTTTTTCATTTTCCATGCAAAGTGTGTGTTTGATGGGACAAATTTAGCCAAGAAAATAATTTCCCCCCATCCCCCCACGCGCCTTCTTTCCTCAGATTTGATGAAAATGCTTTCCCACCATTTTCCAAGGTCTGGGAATTTTTTTTTTTTTTTTTTTGGTTTTTGGTTTTTGTTTTTTTTTAATTTTTTGACAATGTTAATAAATTTTATAACCAAGTATAAAAAAAAATTTCACTTTAATGGACAATTTTCATATAAAACGAAGCCAAACGAACACTAAACCTCGATGAAAAAATAGTTTTCGAGCAAAAATTTTTTTTTTTACTTT